AACGAGTGAACATTGCAACCAGGGCGTGGCACCATCAGTCCTTTTATCTCCAGAAGACGACACTAACGAGCCCCAGCTGCATTGTTATTCCTGCATCCCGACTCAACTCACAGCAAACTTCTGCTGAGTCACAACATCCATCCATCCATCCATCTATCTATCTATCTATCATCTATCTATCAATCATCTATCTACCTACCTACCTACCTACCTACCTACCTACCTACCTACCTACCTACATACATACATACATACACATATACACACATATATACATATACATACATACATATACATACATACACATACATATCCTTAAATTATATAATAAAATGCACAGCTACTGCTTATTTTACTGGACCCAGACATTTTACTGCCAAAATGATTCAAAAGGCAATGTACTGCTGCTGAAAAAAGTATAGTTCTTTTATTTTGACTTGGAGAGCTGCCTGATATTTTGTTATAAACAGGTTACAGTCGTGATTACCTTGACAGCTAGACTCTCGATGTAGGCTATGCAGTATTTCCTGATCTTCTTTTGTTTGAAAGTTATATTCTTCAAGATACGCAGCTCTGTTGTTTGCATTCTGGGCCAGCATTAATTGAATATCACCACAAAGAGTTAAACTCTGACAAAGAAATAGGAGTACTTCAGAGAGCATGTTCATGAAGAGGCAGCAATATGCATCTAATTGGGGAAAAATCAGAAATTATATTGAACTGGAAGTTAGAATATCTCATTACTAAGGAACCACATTATGAAGAATTGTACTATTCTAGCCTCAAACCTTCGGGCAGATTCAAGAAATAAAAGTCCATTTATCTAACTCCTAACATCAAGCTTGCTTAAACAAATTGCAAGTGCTAAGAGCAGTGTTTACTAGTGTTTTGCTAGTAGCAAATATAATTGCCTGAATCCATATTTATATTCAGATTGTGGGTACCAGTGAACTGCCAATCTCCTTGCTTCTCTTGATTTTGTAATAATTTGATTTTTAAAAAATAGCAAATCAGACGACACGTGTAGTAAAGCAAACTGCTAGCATCATATTTATGGAATAAAATACCTCTGGGCTCCCCACAGTTTTCATAGAAATTTTTAGAAATTAAGAATATATATATTACAATTCAATGCTTTATTTATACATTTAATAACCTAATGCCCCTGCTTCATTGAAAGGGTTAGGACTGAACCGGGGTGGGTCCGAGCATTCCAGGAAGCTGGGGATGAGGGGCAGGAAGAAACCTCACCAGTCTGCTGACTGACTTCTCCAGATATTAGAAATAATTAAATTGTAAAATACATTGTAAAATTGTAAAAGCAGTCAGTTTAAAACCCTCAGATATCAAGAAACTATGAAAAAGTAGATATAAAAATATACACCTGAGATATATAATAAAAGTCCTACTTACCATAACACTGTAAAGCTAATCTTATGTACCGTAATGCTCTCCCATATTTCTGAAGACTCACAGCAGCATCAGAAAGAACATAATAAGCCTTTGAAGATTTTAAAATCAGCTGAAGTTTCATTTTGTATTGCCAGGTTCCAGGGATCATTCCTGACTGACTGGAATGTTTTACTTCCTGGAATGACCCCACTAGAATTAAAAACAATGATTAGCAATCTTAATATAGAATAGAATAGAATAGAATTCTTTATTGGCCAAGTGTGATTGGACACACAAGGAATTTGTCTTTGGTGCAGATGCTCTGAGTGTACATAAAGAATCATAAGGTACAATACTTAATGATAGTCATAAGGTACAAATAAGCAATCAGGGAACAATCAATAAAAGTTAAAAGGATTACATTTTGAAATTAAATTAGCAATTTAATTCAATTTAGTTTCAAACTAGCAATTTAGCCATTTTGAATATTGAAGTAAAATTCCTTATTCAAATTAAACTGTTTTAGCTTTTGCTCACTTTTTCATTTCTATAAAACAATCTGAATATGTGCCATGANGCAATATGCTGACTCTCTGTAAACCGCTTAGAGAGGCCTGAAAGGCCTATGAAGCGGTATATAAGTCTACTGCTATTGCTATTATTGCTATATTATAATTAAATTTTTAAAAAGAAAGTGCTTCAATATCGGACAAAACCCGTACTGCCCACCATGAAAGCTGGAACGCCCACTAGTTGGCGGTAGGGACCAGGCTGACTACCACTGATTTAGACCAACAAAAGCGTAAATACTGTATAAAAACTCAAGTTCTAAATCAATTATCATGTATAAATTTGATATCGGCAAACACAAATAAAAGGTTAATTACAATGTGCTACCTATCAGTTGGAATACAGATCAGAACCTGAACATTCAGATTTTAGAAAAGTCTATACTAGCCTATTTATACACCATCATTACAGCCAATTGGATTACTATTATATCTGTATCTATATAGATATATCAATACCGGATAACTATATCTGTTGACTTTACAGGTAGTCCTTGTTTAGACCACAATTGAGACCAGCAGGTCAGTTGAGTGAAACTACATCTTTGTTTATGATTTTTACTTCAGCTTTCTTTTAGCTTACAGAACTGCAAAATTCATAAATGTAAAGATTAGACATAAAGTCACTTTTCCATTCCTGTTGTAAGTTAGGCAGTTCTAAATGAGGACTGCCTTTTTGACCTTACTTCAGCTTTATTTTGTTCCAGAGACATACAAGTCATAAATGTGAAAAATGGTCGTAAGGTTATTTTTTTCCCCATCACTCTCATAACTATGAACAGTCAATGAACTGTTAAACAAGAACTACCAATAGTCAAATTATTCTGAAATTACACAGAGTGTACATGTCTCTTATAATGACATTGGCTGGACAAGAGCTTCAAACAATTCCTTAAAGATTCCCCTGTAAGATTGAGATTGTCTTGGCAATGTTTTATTATATAATTTAAGGATATGTATGTGTATATATGTATGAATGTATGTATGTATGTGTCTATATCTATATCTATATCTGTTCTGACCCCGCTTCTTCGCTTGTTCACAGACGACAGTCAGACAGACTTAAAAGGGAATAACTTTCTCAGTCCTGGCTCACGCTGGCTGCGAGCTCAAAATAAACATAGATAAAGT